AAATATATTTTTTAAATATATAAAAATACTAGTAATAATGTAAACAAATTGGTGTCCATAATTCTTGATTTTTTTTTGACCGATAGATAATCTCCTTAAAATTCTTATTTAGGATATGTATTTCTATTCCCCAGGCATTAAACTTAGTTGGTAACAGAACTCAGGATTTGAAATAACCACATTTTTTTTAATATAAGCTAAAACCATTTACTTTGTCTTATCTCGAATGATCCATTTGTTTGACAGTATTCTTATCTCTTTATTCTGAAGGACAGAACTTGCCAAGATTATGCGAACCAGAGCTAAGGAAATTGAAGTGAAGTTGCTTCTTTTTGCTATTCAGAGAACAACTAACTTTGAGGGGTTTCTTGCAAAACGTTTCTCCGGCTGCACCCTGACAGATGGAACCCTGGTGAGACCTTCCTGAGAGAATGTGGGACATGAAGTTCATGGGTTGAGTAGTTGGGCTTCACTTCAGTCATTCACAGCATGAATGGCTCAAGCTCTTAATCTCCCATTCCAGGGATTTCACTGAATTCACACGAATAGTGGTGGGACAAGGTACTCTGTATGGATTTACTGTTTGTCTCTTATGCAGTACTTCATGTTTTTAGAATGGCCTATCATCATTTTATCTAAGATTTGGCCCCATTTTACAGACTATCAATTACGTGAGTCACGGAGGCCTCACTTATTCAGGCACAAATACCTTATTACTTTATTAACTATTGAATTGTATTATAATTAGGATGTGTTTTTACATTAGGGATTGTTAATGTCTCTGGTGAGCAAACCAGGTCAGTGTGTGTCTATAAACTTCAAAGCCAAGTATATAGATCAGCATGTCAGAGATACTAAAAGGTTAAAACACAAAGGTACGCAGATCAGAGGACTATGCACCTCCATCAGAAGGGTAGAATATGGTGTTGTTGGTTAAAATCATTTAATCTCCATGTAATCAAAGACCAGGCCCAGAGTGTCTCTCTGAAAACCTTTTTTTGGAAATCCAGGCTCCCTGCTGACACATCAGTATGCTTTCTTCAAATTTCCTATCCATGGGGAAAACCACATTTTTATGTTTTATAGTACTTTCTGTTTACATCATTACACACACAGACAGACTTTGAGCTTCGGGAATGCAGGAATCATGGCTGACTCATCTCTGTTCCCTAGTCATGCAAAGAATAAGAATACACAGGCCTGCAGGCAGGAAGGAGGAGGGAGGGAGGAAGAAGTCGAAGTTAAGAAAGTCATACCTATTGAATTGCCTTTAAAACTAGATTTAAAAAAAAAACAAACAAACAAAAAACAAAAAACAACTGCTGGTAACAACAGAGAAGCTATGTGATTTGGTAGGAAAATTTTTGGACCAGCAGTCAAGAGAGACTTGTGGTCCAGTCCTGACTTTGCTGCAACTCAGTGAACTGCCTTCTCTCTTAAATGAAAAGAAGAGAAAGAAGAGACTACCTTTTTATAACAGCATAGTAGAGAGAATAAACAAGACATAAAACCCAGAAGCCATAAAGAAAAGTACTGAAAGATTTGACAACATAAAAAGAACAAAATTCTGTTTGGGAAAAGAGACCATAAACATAATAATTAAAGAATAAACAACAAACTAGGAAAAACCAATTTAAGCTATATAAAACAAATGATCAATATCCAGCATTCATAAAGAATTTTTAAAAATCAATACAAAAAAGACAACCCATTAGGAAAATGTATAGGATCCGGCAAAAAATTTACTGAAGAAATACAGTGGGCTAATAAACATGAGAAGAATAGAACAAAATACTAATTTCCATATATCAGGTTGGCAAAAACAATTACAAGACTAACAGTACAGGATTTTAGTGCTAGTACATAAGTTGATACAGCTTTTTTGGAGAACAGATTGTCATTATGTATCAAAAATTTAAATATGCATGTCCCTGTGAGGCAACAACTTTACATCTAGATATGAAGTACCAAGAAAGAGATGAACTGCAGCCTTTAAAAAAAAAAAAAAAGAAAAAAAAAATTGAGATCTGTAAGATCTATCATTGGAGAATGGTTACATAAAATATGGTATATCCATCCTGTAGAGCAGTGTATAGCAGTTTAAAAGTGATAGAATGAGAGATAGATCTAGATATGCTATCAGGGAAAAAAACCTCTCAGATATATTGTAAAGTCCAAAATGTAAGCTGAGGCCAGTACATGCGGTGTAATTTCATTTATGTAAAAAATAAAAAGCATGTTTATGTATGTAAGTGTGTAAGAAAAAAGTCTGGAAATGATAACAGTGAATGTCTCTGGGGAAGGAAGTTGGAGTGAGAGTAGGCGGAGAAGAATTTTTTTTATTCTACTCTGGTATTTTGTTTAAATTTTTTTATACGAATTCATTTACATTGTTTTTTAAACATATTTTTTGCATTTATATACTTTAGCAAAGTTATTTTTCAATTTTCTTTTAAATGAGGGAGATAGGCCAAATCAGTGACTTCCAAACTCTTTCTTCTAACAAACTCTGTTGTGAAATCCACACAGAGAATAGCTAGCATATTTTGAATATCCACTGTGTGTCCCATACTGTGGTAGATGTTTTTGCTAAAGTCACTTTGCTCATCAACTGTAGGAGGTAGGTAGGTGCTATAGTCATTTGCAATTTACCCAAGGCAGCACAGCTTATTTGTAAATACAGAAAAACTGAGCTACTGTGATTGAAGTTGGGGAGAAAGGGCAGAATTGGGGTCTAGAGCCCCATTCATTTGTTGTTTACCCTTCATTTATGCTACCTTCTCTAGCTCCCAGTTTTCCAATTCTAAAATCCTATTACTTTCGTGGAATCCCCTCTTTGCCCCGCAAGAACTTGCCTCAGCGTAGGTGCATCAAGAGCTGGTCCCTCAGGGCACTGGGCTAACTAGTGTCTTAAGGCAAAACCACAAGGCCATCCCTACTCAGTGCCACTCGTGGCTTTATTAAAATATAACTGAACCACAAAGCACCCTTTCTGTACTTAACAAATACATGCACACATATGCACCCCTGCTTGTTAATTCATGTTCAAAATTGATTTCTTTTTACTAACAAGGAAAAAAGAGGCCGCAAAACAAATGAAAATGATCTTAAAGAAAATGCAAGTCACAGGAGGAAATAGATAACAGCAATGACATTGAAAGAAGCACGTATCTCTCCTGAGAAGTATTTGGTTGACTTCATTCAGCACTATCCTGATTTCCTCACACTGGCCCTCCTCTTTGCCCTGCTAAAGCCATGCTTTTGGCCTGGTTTCAAGCAGATACTCCTGCATCTCTTAGTTCACCCCTACAGAGATCTGCTTGGGGACAGGGAAGTTTAAGCATTGAGCATAGGCCCCACGTGGGAGCGCCCCACTAAGTGCCCATGGCTTCCACCTGGGCAGAGTCGGTAGCGCATAAAGACAGGCTCCGTGAGCCAGTAATTCAGCTAACTGTATGGGAAATAGATCCCAGTGAAGGATGCTTGAATAACAGTAGTGCCAAACACCTGTTTTGAGCTGTTCTTCTTCTCCTTTGGCTATACCCTACTTCCTGAGGATTACAGGGGAACAAATGGCCCTGTTGTACATGATGACCAGGATAGCCTATTAAACTTGGGCCTGTTCCAGAACACATCAGGTCTCTCTTGTGCTAGGAAATGCCTTAAGGGTCGAAAGAGACAGGGTAACGTGGTCAGGGACAAGGCAAGGCTACCGAACAGGGTAACCACATAGAGACCATGAAAAAATGGCAGAAGCTGCATGTAAGTTTGCAAAGAACAGTGCTTTTTTGTAGGAAACAGGTATAAGGGTGTCAGAGTGGCAGCTGGCCGACTGGTAAACCTACTGCTGTCTGATGTAGGAGAGGGCTGGAGGTGCTTGTGTCTCGGCGGCATGGCCTCCACGTGCACTCACTCTGCCAGCGTCGAGCTCCTGGATTGCAGCCTTCCATCTCCCATTAGGTGCTGTGCTCTGTGGTGTTGGCCATGGTCGCCTAGGAACACTTGAACCTTTTTCACCAATCTCTTCTTTTTTGGTCCTCTGTTTTTGAAATGTTCTGGCATAATCAATTTACCAGTATCTCCTCGAATTGTACAGTTGCTGCTTCCTCTCCTACGAAGTTTGCAGAGAGTTTCAGGTTACACATCCTTGGCCAGAAAATCCTGCTGGACCATGAACTCTTTATTCACCCCTCCAGTTGTTTTCTCCACAGCCTTCTCCAAATCATTCAACTTCTTTAAGTCAAACTCTTCCCCTGAGACCATTCTTTGTCCCAGTGATCATGACCCAGCAACCATTCTGCATTCCAGGTCCTGACAATGACTGCTCCACAGTCAGTGACTGAGCCTTCAAGGATTTTATCTAAAAGATTAGTTTCTAGAAAGGCAGCAGAACTCCTATAAGCTTTTTACACAAGGCCAGCCAGGTCTTGGAGAATCAGTTCACTGTAGCCTGCTGTGGGTATGTGAAAGTCGTGTTTCTCGCTGTAGGTGATGTTCACTTTGAACTTGATCCTGCTGTCACCTCGCTGTGGGCAAAGTGAGCCGCACCTTCACCTATCGTAGGGACCTTGGATTAGTCATGGCCACTGACCATGCTCCCAGTAGACAACACTGGGAAGAGGCTGGCCCACGCCAGGCCAGGGGCTCCAGCTAGCCTGACTCCCAGTCTAGCTATTGGGCACCCCACCTGAAGACCTGTCGTTGCTCGTCTCTTTACCTCCTCCTCACGCTGCCTTGCTCCCAGGATATGTTTTTTTGGAAAATCTTTTGCAGCCACCATTTTATTTCAGAGTATTATAATCTACAAAATGAACCAAGATGTATCTTGATACCTTTCAACATATGCTAAATTTCATAGAAAGTTAGTGAATTCCTTGGGAAGTTACAGAGTAGATAAGTCAGCCAAGGAGCCAAGTTTACCATAGACCGTCCCAAGCCCACCCCCCTCCACCCTTGACTGATTGACTGTGAAACAGTGAGGGCGAGCTTGAGGGCTTGATAAGCTCACCTGGAGAGATCTGCCACAGCTCAGTTTCTCCTAACTGATCAGTGTGATGTGTTATCTTTTGTTCTTTTTAGACAGATGGGACTTTGACATCCGATAGAGTTGTAGACCGAAAGAACTTTGAGGACAGGCCTTGTTTTGTTTTTATGGTACTAGCCCTAATGAGTTTAAAATGTTCTGCGTTGTCACTGTTGAGTGACACTGTTGAACTGTACTGGAAGACGGGAGCTGCCACTGCTTTTTGCTGTTTGTCTCAACTCCTGGTCCTTCAGGAGGGATTCAAAATAGTCTAAATTAAAATGCCTTGAAATTAAAAGGAAATGTCTGGATGTGATTTAACTATACCCACATGCTTTACTAGTGACTTAATGATTAAATTCAAGGTAAACATTATATTCAGCCTCTAT